ATTTACTTACCTGGTATAAACGATACTTTTTTTATTACAGGAACATTCGTATGTGGTTCTCGTTCGGCCAGCATTGATTCAGTGATTTTGTTGTATTATATTGTCCTTTGAACACACAATATATAAAGAATGGCATGTAAATTCTAATTCAAAATTTCATTTCAAAATTATATAAGTAAGAAATTGCCTCAACTGATTTATGCACATGCTTCTTACACGTATTATTCGTAATGGATAACATCTCTGCAATGAATTCGAAAAAAAAAACATTCTGAAATCTGAAATACGGTATTTTTCTAACTTAATATACATCACTTACTTCATATTTGTTTAAGTGAAACTTTAATCCTTTCAAGTGAAAATAGAATTTCAAGAATACTAATGCTGACAGAAAATGTGTAACATGTAAGTCGTAAAATGTGGTTGTCAATGAGAAACATGGATTTGAATATAACTTTCAACGAACACTGGTCTCATTCTTAAATAGATCAGAGAAACGAATAAATATGTACTTGTTACGCTAAAGAACGCTATCTAAAACTACACGTAGTACAGAATAATTACAATTAATGTAAGTAAGCTTTATTTAAAAAAATATCAAATGCTAATTCCGAAAGTGTCTTTTAATTCAGTTTTTTGTCACTTCTGATAGATTGCATAATTATGTATCATATGTTTTGTTTTGCACAATCATTGTGTCATCGTTCAGGTACTGATTCCAGTTGTTACCATGGTAGTATTTTAAGGGGAACTCATAAGAAGATATTAGCCAGATAGATATTGACAACCCGTGTGAACAAACTTTACTTGGTGTTTCAAGTGCCAATCAAAAAAAGAAAGTAGTATACGCCAACACTTTGCAATACACGAGTCTCATCTAAATGAACTAGGTGTCACAACATCCCCTGGAGGTCCTTTTATTACTTGAAAAGATGCATTAAATTGATATTTTATAATATGTTTATGTACTTCATTGGATATTTACCAACCAAATTAAACATATTAGGCTGAATTGAGGATTTAGTTGAAAAAAGGATAGATTCACATACAATACATTCAAAACTTGCGTGCAGCATAGTAATGTACAAAGAGATTAGATGACATATCTAACAAAATCAGAATAGAAATCACAATAATCAGTCATATTTTTCGTAATGAATGGAATAAAGACACTGTATCACATTGTTGAAATTTATGTCGTAATAATGGCTCTATAATATTATACAAAAAAATTTACCTATAATAAATTATATTCTAATGATTTGGATATATTAGTAGATACAATGATATCAATAAATCTTATTGCCTCATACCTTTTCAGAGGTTGCATAGAATAGATAAAAATAATACTAACAAATTATGTCATTTTCTGTAATCAAGAAATACGTTC